CCCGCCCCGGGAGCGCTGTGAACCATGCGGTCTGCCTCGGTGCTGCACGCTCAGCACCTTTCTTTGACTCAGCGTCGCTCTCGCCGAGCCCGGCGAAACAATCTGTCCCTCCCATCAGTGGGTAAAGGCTGAGCCACGCGAATGAGCCCTACCTTCGTCTCCAGGATCTCGCTCACCAGCCTGATGCTCTCCTTCAGAAGGTTGGAGGTCTGCAGCAGAGCGGCCGTGTGGCCCTGGCAGGCTGACAGCGCCAGGAAGGTGAGCAGGACCGGGACCGGGATGCTCATGGCCTGCTTGGACTGAGCCCCCTCAGCTCGCAGTTTCTGGATATTTTGGTGATCTATACCTGTGTGTGCTTTTCTGGAAGAACCATCTCAATTTATGGCTGTAAAATTGCTGAACCTGTAGGAAAAACTTATTTTTCCCTTATCTGCACTTTCCAAAGATGCTCCTATCCAATTAGGACAACAGGTCTTTTTTGTAAAAGTCAAGATTTTCTTCTGATCTTGCATTACGTTTCAACGTAGGAAATTTCCACCGTATGATAACGGTGGTAGGAGTCAGGTCACGTACAAAAGAAAAGTATGTAAACTGCCCGCTTTGGGGATTCTTCGTTTCTCCGTATCCCAAGACTTTCTCTACACCGTGAGGTGAAAGTGGCCGAACTGGGGAGACCACGGATCTGACCGCACTCAAATAACGGAGCTTTGCTTTTTTTTCTCTAACTATCCTGCGAGCTCTTCCATCTCGCATTTCATTTGAATATCTCCAAATCATGCAAAGCATCCTTCATCTGCATACCATTTTCTGTCTACGGTTATCTTAACCTGCGCCCGGGGAGAAACAGAAAGCGCGGCAGAGCCCTGCTTGGGGCCCGCAGGGACGAAAACCTCCTGGGTAGGAGCGGGGCATCGCCACCTCCTGGGGCCAGGGGGTTTACAGAGAGCTGGGGACCCTCCTGGCCAAACGGGACACCCAAAACAGCGTGACCCTGCCCGTGACACCCTGCGGGGAGGTGGGCGAGGGACAGGGAGCTGGCGCGGCGTGGTCCTGCAGCATCGATGCCCGGGAGCGCCTGCACTCGCGTGGGAAAACGAGGTTTTTGTGACTCTGATCCAGCGCCCGGTGTCTCGGCGAGCTGGAGGCTGCCCCAGCCCGTCCTGCCCCGCTCGGGGAAAAGCCTGAGCGAGGTTCAGGTGATGGGCTCTGCTGGCACCACCGCCCAGCGCTGCCGCAGGAAATCACACTGAGAAATTAGCTGAGCTGGGAAACTTCGGAGTTTTGTAATAACTAATAGGTGTTTTTCTAACTCAAATAGCAACTTGCCATCAGATGCTTGATAAGAGTTTGCGAGTGCTCGATTAATCCAGGAGCAGCCAGACTGAGAGTAATTTTGTTTGTCTAATTACGAAATGCCCCAGATGAAGTTGGTGCCACTGACTCAGAAAGACCTTTGCAAGGGATTTGCCAGCGGAGCGCTGCGCCGTTTCCTACCTGCACCGCTCTCGATGGAGAGCAGATAAGCGCGCGCACGCTCCGGCTGCGGGACCGTGCCACGGCGGC